GTAAGGGTATTTTGGGAAATCACCGTTCAGGCTTTGGCTGATTGTACACACTGCTCTTTCTTGCTTTCTCTTTGAACTCTTATTCACTTTTAGAAAATTATTTCCTTAAAAACTTTTATTACTTCCTCAGTTTGAGTCCAGATTTACCTGAAGGCGCATCCGAATCCCTCAAACCAAGGCTCTGATACCAACTTGTAACACCGTAAATTTCAAGACAAATTTTTCATTTAAAATAATCATTTTATTCTTAGAAACGCTTGTTTAAAATCTCATTCATAGTCGAATTACAAAACATAACTCCATTTTCACTTGCATAGAAAACCAGGATCCTCCAAAAATGACTCTTTCTCTGGTGTGTACAATCAAGCCGGTGCCGTCTCGTGATACTGAAAGAAACCTGAAAACATCACACAAAACACTGTAAGCACGAAGCTTAGTGAGGCATACTCGCCGAGTTCATCACTTAAATCCCGCGTCCCGTCCCGTTTCTACTCGGCGAGTTGGTCCTTCAACTCGCCGAGTCCAAGGCCAAAAATGTAAAACACTTAGATAAAAATAAAAAGAACTACGTACCAAGAACCAGGTGCTACATAAACATTATTGATCCATAACCGTTTTTTCTCTAATGTTATCTTCGATGTGTCCAAATGATCATTTAACTAATCCTAGACTTAACCACCAACAAACTAACATTGGCAAAAAACATAAACCAAGTCACTTCCCATGGATCTCGCAAGACATCTTGTCGAAGATATTGAGGCTACTACGTGGAATATATATATGCTCCAAAGAAAACAAACATTCTAGCATAGATGATTTCAGTAGATCGGGTGCCAACCATATTTAATTTTTCACATCGCAGAGTTGATTTGGAATCATTTAGGAATACATACCGTCTTAATCATTTGGAGTCTATTTAAATAATTGTGGTATGGTGTTGTTATCTGGTCTTATATTGGTCATTGGTGGGACCTCACGATTCTTGTCGTCAGTTCGGTGAGGGAGTGACTTTCTTGGGTGGATACAATGAAGATGTTAGCTATCCAAAGATCTTGTTTGGAGGTCATCCCGGTTACAACTTTTTAAGTGATTTGGAACTTTAAAAACTCTTTGGTGTTTGGTTCTTATAAACATCGTAACGGTACTATATTTGATAAGATAGTCCCTGAATCATTTTTGGGTTTTGAATAAAAGTTCTAGACTGAAAGTTAATTAGGTTTTTGGTCTCTAACAATATTCCTTCATCTAACAAAAACTTTATACCATCAACTATGATCATATTCACCCTCATAACTATTGTCTTGCTTACCTCATATAGACACTTTTAAACCACAACAATATCCGATCCGTTAACATTTCGATGATCAAAGTCAATCCGAAAGTACTTTTGATTATTATATTAGATATCCTATCACATAATTTTCTACCTTATGTCACCACAACATCCTCATTTATACAACTTCTATCTTCTTAAAAGCTTCGAAATTTACCAACATTTAGATCCATACAATATAACCGACTTAACCACCACTCTATAGAGTTGAGCATAGTTTTGTTTAATTTTTTGACTAAAACCTAAACCAAACAAATTTTTTTTGGTTCTTAACCATGGAAAAACAAATGTGATATTTTTTATTTTTTATTTTTTATTTTTTATTTTTCTAGTCTTTCGGTTATTTTTGTTTCTATTTTCTATTTTATTGTTTCACTGTTTTTGATATTTTTTTGTGTGTCTTCGTTAAACGTGTTGACTACATTTAACAAAAAAACATGTAGTTACCCTATGCACTCACACATTTGATATTATGTAAGGTTGATTTAAAATTTCTCTTGTAACATAATTAGACAATTAAACTGATATACTTTACTTTTTGGTATTTTAGATCAATGATTTTTTCTCAAAGTTGTTTCAACATGCTGGTTAGGCTGCTCGGTGTGGGTGCGGTTTGAAACCGCGGTGCTACCACGTGGACCGCGAACACCGCTCCCAGGGCATGGTTTTGTGCGGTCAAGATCGCGTCCTCTTATTGGTTGTTGCGCACGCACGCACACACACACACACACACACACACACACACACACACACACATATATATATATATATATATATATATATATATATATATATATATATATATGTTACCATTTTAACATTTCCACCACCTTCACTCCACCTTTAAACAAATATTTACACAATCTTTTCATCCAATTTTTTTTTGAAAAAACGTCTTCTTCCAAAAGGCCTAGCAAAGAGAAAACACCAGTCAGAAACACCAAGACCCCAATACCTTCATTTGATCAATTGATTTTCTCACCTCCGTTTTACCACTACGGCGGTATGCTTCTGTATTTTCTACAACGACTAGCGCAACCACTACCAAAAACACCACAACCCGACTCATATTTTAATCCATTTGATTTTTTTGTCTCAACCCGAGTTTGTTCAATAAATACAAACACAACCAGAAACGGTCGTTTCTAATTCTAAACCAGAATTCGTTACAGAAACTTGTCCCACTCAAGCAGCAACTAAAAGAAAAGAGAAGGCGGAGGCTACATGTTGGGAACCTTTGGAAGCGTTAGTGTTGACACAATCTTGGATCGATATTTCAGAAGATGTTAGTGTTGGAAAAAACCAAAAGCATGACCGCTTTTGGATTCACGTTTTACACATGTTTCACAAAGGAATGAACCGTAGAGAACACCGTACAAAACATCAAGTGTACTCAAAATGGGGGAAGATGAACAAGGAAGTCGTGTTGTTTAATAACTTGTGGAACAACATGAAACGTTAATGGAAAAGTCGAGAAAGAGATTAAGTGATTTTGAAGGAAGCGTTGAAAGTGTATCAAAAAAAATCTGAAGGCTTTCAAGTTTCTTGAAGTTTGGAATTTTTTGAAAGAAAACAGGAAATGACTGAGTAGCAAAACATCATATGAGCATATCGACAGTGGTTCAAAACACAGCAGAACATCTGAGTCCGACCACACTACATCAGATGCTCGTGTTCAATTTGATCTGAACGAAGATGAACATGTTCCAGTTTCACCACCTTCCCAACCAATGGGAAGAGACAAATCAAAAAGCAAATGTAAAGGCAAAGAATCGGATTCAAATGATTTAAAAGAAATGGGAACCGACATGAAGGGTATAAAAGACAGATTGGACAAGATTTTGCAAATTGCTTCTGAAAGAGAGCTTCGGAAACAAAGGGAGAGTGACACACGAATAATAGCAATGGACATGTCGAATATGACTGGTGTGGAGCTTGAAGTGGCTTTGACAATGAATGAGGAAGTGAGAAAACGCTACCAAAATCGTGACTAATTTGTTTTTTTTTTCATGTTTTTAATCGTTTTTTTTATTTTTTATTTTTATTTTTATTTATTTATTTATTTATTTATTTATTTATTTATTTATTTATTTATTTATTTTTAAAGATGTAGGTTTTATGTTTCTAATTTGCTTTTCTAATTTTTTAGGTTTTTTTTAATTAATGTATGGTATTTGTATTTTTAATTAATGAAATATTATCTTTTTAAAATTATGTTTTTTATTTAAAAATGAAGTTTTATTAAATTAAAATAGTTAAAAAAACAAAAAAGAAAAAAAAATGTAGCACCACTCGCTTGGTGTGGCAAGAGACCACACTTGTGTGGTAAAAAATAATGTGACATTTATGTGGTAGGAGAAGAAGTGCGGTTGCGGTAGCACCATAACGTTTTTGGATGATTTGACGGTTTTCGAATGACATTTTTTTGTGAGTAAAGGATGTCGGCTTTCATAACATTATGATTATTTTTTTGTCGAATAGATTAAATAACAAAAACTTAACTAATGAGTTGGCTTACTAACTAACCCAAAGCTTATCGCCTTACTTATTTTATGTCATCTTTTGGTTGGCTAGCTTCCTGCAATCCTGCTGGTCGTATTTATTTGACAAAACTGAAAATTTAGTCCTTGTGGTTTATAAAAATCTTTGGATAGGATCCAAAAAGTTTTTAACTTGCATGACAAGTCCAAAATCAAAACATTTCCGCGATTTTAGTCCAAAAAAACTTGAAAAAACAATTATGCCCTTTTATTTTCTTTTTTGTATTTTATATATTTATTTAATACCTTTGTTAATTAAAAAATAAAGAAAAATGAAAAAATTATCCCCCACCCAACCCATCGTTCTCTCTCTCTCTTTCTCTCTCTCACACACACACACACACATCTGGGTTTGTCATTGTTAACACCCAAGAATATCTTTATAGTCAAGAAGGAACATCTTGATTAACAAATACACACATCAGTTTTCTGATTTTATTCTCCAAAACACACAAACATTCAAATACACTTTCTACATGGAAGGTAAAATTAACCACCATCGTTCGCCACTGTCACCACCGACTATCATCAACGTCCGCCATCCTTCTCGCTTTGTCTGCCTAACGTCTTCTTCTCCCATTCTATCTCTCTGTACTTTGCCAAGTACACCTTCAAATCAATTGATGCTTCTCAGATTCATCCAAATCAAAATACAGAGAATGTTAGATCTGCCTCAAATGAAAGTGTTTCTGGGTTTGTTGGTTGAATTACATTTGCTTCGATGAGAAAACACAACCTCCATCCATCAAGCACAATTTTCCTCCACAGAATCGGGCATGAAAACCCTGAAATCCGACCTTTAAAACCCATAAAGTACACATTTAAAGATATTCATGTTCATCATCTGAAATTGGACCTTGAAACCCATGAAATCGGACCTTTACAACCTTAAAATCGGAACTTGAAAACCCTAAAATTGGAATATATGAAATCGAACTGTTGGTCTTACCTTCATCAGATGGGAACGTGTGTACAGAGGAAGACACAGATGCTCAGGAGTTGGGTTATGCTCTTCGACAATAATTCATTGATTAGTTGTCACGGGGAAAAGAAAATGGCAGAGGGGGCAGGTTTAGTGTGGTGATGGTTGAAGGCGGCATCGATATCTAAAACGATTTGGGGATGAGATGGAGAACGGGGGAGAAGCTAGAGAGGGAGGAAATGGACATGAGGTGATAATCGGTGGTAGTTGTGGTGTTGTCGGAAAAATAGAGGTGTATATGAATGGAGATGTTGAGGAATGGGGTTAAGATCAAATTCGATTGGGAAGAGAGAGAGAGAGAGAGAGAGAGAGAGAGAGAGAGAGAGAGAGAGAGAGAGAGAGAGAGAGAGAGAGAGAGAGCATTTTTTTTATTTTCAATTAAAGTATGAAAATAAATATGAAAAAATACAAAAAAAAGAAATTAGAAGGGCAAAACGGTCCTTTCAAGTGCTTCATGGACCAAATTCACAGGAAATTCATGATTTTGGGACCAAATTCACCGGAAATTTCTGATTTTGGATCATCCATGCAAGTTGAAAACTTTTTGGGCCTTATCCAAAGTTTTTTGAATACCACATGAACCAATTTTGTAGTTTTGTCTATTTATTTTAATAAAAGATTTCATCGGTCGATAAAAACTAAAGCGGACATAAATTGTTTTATGTTTTAAAATCCATAAACCAAACCGTTGATTTTCAATTCGGTTCAGCTTCGTGTTTTTTTTTTTTTTTTGGCACACACCTGCCACTTTGCAAAACAATTTCTTACGTTTTATCGGGTCTTTTGTGCTGTACAAAACTCATATGGCCACTTTCCTCTGTAATCGTTTTGCCTTTATGCGATGAATAAACTTCGTCATTAACATTCATTTCTCTATGCGCTGTAGTTCCTAAATACTTAAACTATTATTTAGGTGTAGACATGTAGTACTTGTTCTATATTCTATACCCCTTATCTTCCAACACGGGCTTTCAGGTATCTAAGCTGTAGTATAGAATATAAAATCATAAATAATACAAGATATGCATCTTCCTTGATATTCTCCATGTGAGTTGTGCATGAGTTGGAATTTCCTTGTCAGGGGCAGACCCATGTTGAGTTGGGAATGGTACTGCTTATTACATTTTTTTTGGGTTTAAAAATACAAAGAGTTCTCTCTCTCTCTCTCTCTCTCTCTCTATATATATATATATATATATATATATATATATATTATATATATATATATATATATATATATATATATATATATATATATATATATATAGAGAGAGAGAGAGAGAGTTCAATTGAGAAAAAAAAATATTGAGAATGGAGGAATCATTCTCACCCAATCATTTATTTTTACCGCAAAAACCTCCAATGTACCGACAGAAAAGGGAAAAAAATGCACATGTGTTTTCCAACAAAACATATTTCCTTAAACTATGCTAATCATTACCTTAATATATACAAAAACATATTTTTTTTTAATTTTAATTTTTAGAAACTATTTTTATCAAAAAATGATTTTAAATATACAAAAATTCATGATTTTTTATTCTCTACAAAAAGACATCCATATTGATATAGTTTCATGATAAAATAATTTTTTTTTTATATATTTTCAGTTATCATTATTCATAAGTGAATAAAAATGCATTAGGTGTTATTACAGTACATTCGTTATTCACTTATGAATAAAAAGTATGATTTTTTTTTAATATTTTAAGTATCATTTATATATAAATATAACATATAATAAACATAGTATATTCATATTTTAATATTAGACGATGCATTTACTTATGAATATTAACATAATATATTCACTTGTGAATATTAGATGATATATTTACTTATGAGTACTAAATGATATTTTATATGTGAATATTACATAGTATTACATGTTATATCACATGTGAATATTACATAGTATATTCACTTGTGAATATTAGAAGATATATTCACTTACGAATATTACACTAATATATTCACATATGAATATTACAAGATATATTCACTTGTGAATATATTTACTTATGAATATTTGAAGGTATTTTAACAAATATATATAATTTTTATATGTTATTCACATATGAATAACATACAGACTTGCATATTCGTTTTTTTGTTTTAATAATCATATACTGGTTCAGGTGAGAAAACATATTCATATATGATTATAACGTGGTAATTTAGTTTATGCATTTCATCAAACAGTTGGAGTGCATACAATTTAACTTTTTTAAAAATGTTAAAAACATCAAGTTATCAATTCCAAATCATCATATACTTCTGATTTCGACTTTAGATGCGACATTCTATTTTTGATCGATTTCTCATTTTGATTTTGATTTCCGAAAATCCGATTGGGAACCTGTGAGTACCGATTCTGAGTCCTTCAATGTCGACTGTGACTGCGAGTCCATAACTCCGATTCCAATTTCATGAACAGCAAAAAATTCCAGTTTAGTTGAAGAAATCTGGATGATTATTGAAGGTTGGAGGAAAAATTTTGATAATGAACGAACTGTTATCGAATTCTCTATAGTTACGTATTTGAGATTGAAGGTTATTAACATATTTACATGTTTGTCACCATGTTTTTTTATGCTTACATTAAATGAGTGGCTGAGAATGATTCCCCCATTCTCAACCTTTTTTATTTTCTCAAATGAACCAATCTCTCTCTCTCTCTCTCTCTCTCTATATATATATATATATATATATATATATATATATATATATATATATATATATATATATATATATAGAGAGAGAGAGAGAGAGAGAGAGAATAAGGATATATAAGATTAGGTACCCAAACAATCAAAACTATATAGTTTTGATTAGTGATTTAATTTTTTGAAAAACAAAAAAAATACGGTTTCCATACGTGTTTCCTTATTCACAAACGGATTCAATTGGTCAATTCTTTTTGTTCAATGATCGGGCGCTGCTTTATAATCCCTAAGATTTTGATCGGAAAAAAAAATTACCATACACTCACAAAAAAAATTTCAAAGAAATCGGAATAACTAATTCATACGAAAAAAATTTTCGCTTCACAGAAGAGCTAAAAAAATGATTTCAAAGCAAATAACACTTTTCACAATTCACCAATGATTTCACTTTCAACTACTATGGACCTCTATCTGAAATTTAAGTGGTATTTGAACGAACAATTATTGAATTGGGAAAAGTGATTATTATGATAAATATCTTAATTTTGCATATGTTTTCTATTCCGATTGTTTATCAATAGAATTTTTATGTTATATGTTCTATTACTAGGTGTGAGATCCATGTATTACATGAGTTTATTTAAAAGAAAAACTAAATACAAAATTCTAAACATTTGTGAAGTTTGAATTTATAAGAAAAGTGAGAAAATATTGAATTATAAAAATTAAAGTATTTTTTTTCTTATTTAAATTTAAATAAATAATTTAGATAAATAAATAAAGAAAATTAATGAATCTTTAATTTAGTAATTTTAAAATTAGGAGGAAAGTTCATTAATGAAATTGATATGCATTTATTATTGCATTTAAATACTATTTGGAGTTTAAAAAATAAAAAAACCATAAAATGACATGTGAAATAAAAATTAATTTAAAAAAAACCACAAAATTACATGTGGCAAAATAAATGAGAATGTGACATTTGGCAAAAAGATCTTTTATTTATTAGAGAGGATTATTATCTATGTTGCTTTTGTTTGATCAAATTTAGTTGAATTTATTGCTTTTGATATAATGAAAAAGTTAGGTCATCTTTGAAAAAGTTACTGACAGGACATTATTAGGGTCAAGTTCTCATTGTCTTTTACTTGTGGTTTTGTGCAGGGCATAGTGTTTGAAACTGAACTAGCTGAGCAAGCTATAGAACCGTATATAAATGAAAATGTTAACACAAATGATTTTGTGGAAGCAACATGTGAATCTGAAGAACTTAACGATTTCGGTGTGAACATTAAAATTGATGAAGATAATGTTAATGATGAAAGGATATTGAGAAAGGTTTTTGATACACCCAATGATGCCTATACATTTACAATGATGATTATTTTTTGCATGGCTTTGGTATACGTAGAGATAACACAATTAAAAATCCTAAAACAAATTAATGAGCATTTTCGGAAGATATATGTATGCAACAAAGAAGGTTTCAAACGGATGGAAAAAAATGCTTCAAGTGAAAATGAGAAAAAACATTATAGAGATGTTAGAACCGGATGTTAAGCAAAGCTTCGAATAATAAGACACGAGGATGGGAAATGGTTAGTAGACTCGTTTAATGACACACACAATCAAGACTTGACCATGACACCTGCAAAGGTGATGAAGCATCGATCTCATATCAATTTCTACCGTTCAATAGAAGATAAATCTCTTATGGTGCAATTTGGTCAAGCAGGGTTGAAACCTTCTCAGATTAAAAAGGTTTTTAATACAATGAAAACCTCAAATATAGCTAATGTAACTTTAAAAGGATGTGCTGATGTTTTATCTAAGCATCGAAAATAACATAGAGGAAAGGAGTTCTATTGACTTATAAAACATTTTCAAGACAAAACATTAGTTGACAGTGACTAGGTGGATTTGTCGGATGATGTGTATTCTAGAAATATCTTTTGGGCTGATGGTAGATCAAGGATGACTATACAAAATTCAACGATGTTGTTGTGTTTGATGTCACTTATATGACTAATAAATTCAAGATGCCTTTTGCTCCCTTTACTGGGGTGAATCATCATGGGCAATCTATACTTTTTGGTGTAGCATTACTTGAAAATGAAAAGGAAGAGACATTTGAATGGTTATTTGAACATTTTCTCAAATGTATGTTTGGCAAGTATTCGAAGGCAAGTATTACCGATCAAGACAAAGCTATGGACAATGCAATAAGAAAAGTGTTTCCAAAGACTCGACATCGCTTTTGTTCATGACATATCAGGAAGCAAGAAATTGGGCACCTTCGATCGTATGTTTCCTGCTACAATGATTTTCAAGAGACGCACATACACCGGGTAAATAGTGACACCATTGAACAATTTGAAGCAACATGGGAAGATATGTGTATTAAGTATGAATTGGAAAGCAATTATTGTCTTAGTAACATGTATAACCAACATATACATTGGGCTAAACCCTTCTTAAAGGATATTTTCTTTGCTGGTATAACCACAACCAGACGAAGTGAGAGTATCAATTCATTTTTTGATGGATTTGTCAACTCGAGGACCATGTTGAATGAATTCGTTGTACAATATGGCAAAGTAGTTGAGTCACGAAGGGCTTCTAAAGAAGATAAAGACTTCAAGACTATGAACTCGAGACCGGTTCTTTCTTCAGTGCATCCAATCGAAGAAAAAGCAGGTCAATTTTATACTAGAAAGATGTTTGACACTTTCAAAAAAGAATGGAGTGAAGTAATTTCCAATTTGACTCACGATACTATAACAAAAACTACATAAGAAAGCACATATAGAGTTGGATAATTGGATTGATAATAAATATTGGCTTATTGTTACCTTTCGTTCTTTAAATCAAGTCAGCATCCAATGTTCGTGTTCTATGTATGAGACAAATGGGATTTTATGAAAGCATAGCTTATATGTGATAAAGAAGAATCATGTTCAAGAACTGTCGAGTCACTATATTTTATCGCGATGGACCCTTGATGCTAGGTACAAACTGGGTAGTGTTAGTATTAGACTCGGAGAAATAAATAATGAAAATGGAGTTAGTGCCTACAAATTATTTTGTGTTCATTCGAATTTTACTAAACTAATTGAACAAGCAAGGGACTCCCCTTCGGAGATACAAAAACTCAATAAGATATTAATAAGTCTTTTAGATGATCAAGCAAGTTGAAAAAAACTATCTTTGGAGAATGCATCTCAAAGTTCTTGTATGGGAGTTTCACAAGTAGATATGATGTCACAATTATCTATCTATGATCCTCTTGGTCCAACTACAACAAAAGGGGGTCCTAAACTTGCAAGTAGAATAAAGTCTTCTTTAGAAGCCCCAAAAAACGAACATGCTCTTACTGTTAAGGATTAGGTCATTATGCTACTAGTTGTTCAAAAAGATAGGTAATTATAATAATAATTGAATTTTGATGATTGAGAACTCTAATGATTATATTTTTTATTTTTTATTTTTTCATGTATCAGGCATATGAATCGTTACAAGAGACATAATGATGAGATGTGTTGTTTTTGTGGGCAAAATGTAACACTTGGTTTCGAATTGCTTCATTATTTGGGGCCGTGACCCGATCATCAGTTATCATAAGGCTTAGGGCCTTTGGGAAGAAAGGTTTAGACCCATTTGGATATGGGTAATGTTGGTGATGTGATGAAAGGGTTCGGTTTATGCTTTAGAGCCCAAGGGTACCGGTAAAGGCGTTGGTTCGAGCCTTTTATGAATTTTGGATTTTATTTCCATTGATTTCTAGACAAAATAAAGTTTATATGTGTAGGGCTTCTTGTTATCTTTTCGTGGATATAAAGACGTCGAAAACGGATAAGGGATGAAAGTTATGACCATTTCAAGTTAGAGGGGTGTTGGGCCAAAAAGGGTACACATGGCGTACACGAGAATTTGAATGCGGGTGCATTTGGGAAAGCCCTGCGTTCCCCAAGGGAACACGCTGCGTTCGTCAGGCCAGCTTAAAACCTAAATTTAGGGTCGTAGACCCTACTTAATGACCTTAACTCACCTCCAACCCTCATTTCCTTCAACCTTCATCCTCTCTAACCCTAAGAACGAAACCCTAGCCTCCAATTGAGCGATTCTTGAGCTTCAAAGTGATTTATGTGTGTTTTTGGTGCTTAATGAAGAATAAGGAACTCCTTGAAGAGTCATTGCTTGACTTGGAGCTTTTGGATCCAAGATTTGTGCATCTAGATCTATCTTCTGGAGGTATAAAGTCTCAACCTTGACAACTCTTTCATGTAGATCTAGCTAAGTTGTATTTTGTTATGGTTTTGGTCCCTTTAAGGTGGTTCTTGTGAGTAGAAGTTACTCTAGGACCTTTGAGCTTCATATTTGGTCCTTGTTGAGGTTATGGAGTCATAAAGTTTGGATCTTGATGGGTATAAACCGTCCATGCATGATTTGGTAGTCATTTGATGAAGTTTGGGACTTAGGGTTTTGATTTGGGTCCTATTGAGTGATGCTAATTCATAAAGTTGGAAACTTCATGACTTAAGAAGTCCCTTGAAATCAGATCTGGAAGTTTGGATTGAGGTCTTAAGGTATGAAGAAATTTTAAGACATTTTTGGAGTGATTTTAACCTTTGGAGTTCATCTTTCGTGATTGGGCTTCATTAAGCCATGCAAATTCTTAAAGCCATCAACTTCATAGATAAAGTCACTTATATTTATCCGTTCTGAGGTTTTGGACATTTGGCTTAAAGGATTAAGTCATTGGAATAACTTTTGGGTGACCGCCGGGAAAGTCGTGCGTACCACTGGGGAACGTCGCGCGTTCCGACTATGATGCCTATTTTTGGACCAATGACGTACGCCGCGCGTACTAGCCATGTACACTGTGCATACATCTAATTAGATGGGGATTTGGCTTTTTGGATCATTGGCTTTGGGACTTTGATTTTGGGCCTTGGTTGAGTTTCGGGCTTAATTGGTTGGGTTGAGGACTTTCATTAAAGTTGTATTTATTTATTGGGCTTGCCTTGTTGGGCCTTAGTGGGCCCTATGGGATTGGGCTATTAGTAGGCATGATTAGTTGGACCATTTATGGATTAATGAATTTGGTTTGAAACTCAATTGTTAATTGGGTGTTGTTTGTCTGATAGTGCTAGGTTTCTAGTGGATTTGTAGTCAGAGATTATTCGTTGATTCAGCTGCCGAGGTGAGTTTTTCCTCACTATTCGTTGGTTTAGCCATTCTGAGAAGTATATTTTACATTATCTAATTGAAGCCCTAAATCCATAATAGTTTATTAGTGTTATCCTTGGGAGTAAAATATTATAAATTTGGGAATTTATGGTCTAAATGGTATCATTTGGACTTGTGTTGAATAGATTTTTGGGAAGCAAGGGCTAAAAGGTAAAATATGAATTCAGTTTGTAAAGATTTCTTAGGGTAGGGGTTGTTTGGTAAATTATGGATGTATTATGAAAGGATTTTTGAAGGCATGGGCTAAATGGTAAATTCTGGGGCTTAGTTTGAAAAAAATCTGGAAAGGAGGGACCGATTGTGTCAATATGGGATGAAGTTTGAGATTGGACGGATGTATATAATCTTCCACCCTTGTCTCATAACCCTAACCCTAAGACACTCTTTCAGCCGCCGCCCCCTTTCCTACGATTTCCGGCGCCACCTCCTTACCTGTTGAAGTTGGAGCACCCGTCATCAACCACCAAGAAGCCACCGACGTCGTTCTTCTGCCGAAGAAGACGAATAGCTACCACTCGTCGTTGATTCAGTCATGGAGGCAGTTGTTGCCCGTGCTATATCGCACCTCTTCTCCTCCACCTTCCTTCCATAGTGCAGCGCCGCTGATCGCTAGCGTTGCTGTCGTTTGTAAGCTCAACCCTCGTCGTCGTTTCATTGGTGCTACATCCTAACTCCGTCTGTCGCTGTTAACCACTGCTACAGCCCACCATTCATGCTACTGCCATTGCCGCACACACCACGTGGGTGGTTATGTCATATTCCGAGCAAAGATGTGTCGTGTGTACCGTTTATGTGGCCAGACTTCGCAAGAAAAGGCCATGACCACCATCGCGAGGTGGTGGTTGTCACCTTGTACCTCCACCAGCCGTCACAAGGGTGGCTGAGCGTGTGTGTATTATATTATGTGTGTGTCTCTTTTGGATTTATGTTGTATAATGTATTTATTTGGTCGAATTATTCAAGGAAAAACCGACCACCACCGTCGTGAGATGGTGGTTGCCGCCTTCTGCTGCCACCATCCACCATGTTGGGTGGTGGTGTGCATTGTGTGATTGGACTGCTAGTTTAGATGCTTGAACATGTTTTGGTTTAGAATAATAACTACCACCGCGAGGTGGTGGCCGCCACCCTGAGCCGCCATTGACCACCACTACCCGAGGTGGCAGTGGGTGGTGCCCGACTTAATTAACAGTTAATTAACCTAAAAGCTTAACAAATGGATTCCTTGGAACGTGATTGGGTTGGATACCCTAATTTTTGGATATGTTAATTTGGAATTGTTGGGACTCGCATGTTTGGAGCATTGGATTGGAAATATGAATTAATCCCGACCACATTGTATGTTTGATCTAGTAGAGTGATGCACCTAATGGATTAAGTCCTTAATTGGTTAAGTAAGAATACTTAGCCCTAATCGTTATTTTATGTGGAAGCCCTAATTATTGTTTGGACCTTAATTTGGCCTTTCTGTTGGGTTTTGGTGATTAGGCTATTGATGGGCCATCCAAGAACAAGTATATGGACTAGAATATTTGGATGGGCTTTAAGATAAGGCCCATCAGAAAGGCTCAGGTATAATTTGGAAAATTGGGCCATAGATGGGCCATTACTGGGCCTTGATGATTAGGAGATATTGGACCATCGGAATGCCATGTGTTGGGACTAGAATAAATGGTTGGGCCTGAGGGTAAGACTATGTAAAGGTTTGGGCCCAATTTGGAAAATTGGGCCATATGTTGGGCTATAGTTCATTGTTTGACTATTGGGCCTTTGGATTGGGCCTTGGTCTTGAATCAAGCTAAGTTGGGGGTAAAGTAGTATTTTACCCCAAGCATGGACTTATGGTTATGTGTTGGATCCCAATTATTAACTGGGTGTTATTTTGATGCTGATAGTTTGAGAATCTTTCATCCAACAACTAGAGTTTTGTCCGTGGAACTTTAATAGTGTGAGGTGAGTTACATTCCCGGTAAAAGTGGGTCGAAGGCACCAATGCCATCCCACTAGTACTTGTTTATAAGTAGATGATTGTCTATGTGATAATTGTATGGTATGCTACTATCTGTTATGCTTATGTGCTAGTATGCTATGTTATGCTATGTATTTACGTGGTAGTGGTAGTGTAACAACGTGAATTTCCAAAACAAATTTTCATTTTTAAAAACATAATTTTATTCATATAAAATATCAAAACTCAATGTAACACATGTCATCCAAATAAAACAATTCCCAAGATCTTAAATACATAAAATTGCATCAATGTGTACAGATCATGTCGGCGCCTTCCTGTGATCATCGTTGGTACCTTAAACACATATCACATATGTTGGATAAGGTGTCTAAGTCCATAACTATTTCTGGTAAATACTTGACCCGACCCGGCATGGTCTATTTGGGTTGTATGGCACCATGCAATTGGATAAACTAAATGAGAGAAATAACACATATGGTTTATTAATATATTATAAGTTCTAATATATTAATAATTTTATTTAATTAGTTTTGATCAAGAATTAATTTAGAATTAATTAAGTGATCAAAAGAATAACTAATTAAATATATGGGTAGATTATATGAATCTTCCATATCTTATATAGTGGGCTAAAAGGCTCCATGGATTATCAAGTTGGGTTCCACCCATAAGGTGCTCCATGGATGCTCCATGGAGTTAACCCATGGATTGAGAAATGAAGAGTCATGTTACATTAGGGTTTTACCTAATGCAACACACTATATAAGAACCATGTCTCTCCCCAAAATCGGTTACACACAAGAGAAACAAGAGGGCTTGGCCGATTTTGAGTGTGTTAGAGTATTCTCTCAAGTTTATACTTTGCATTTGGTCTTGTGTGAAGCATTTGAGGCATCACACTTGAGGTGCTAGGCTCACAAGGTTTCAAGGAACACTTTCAACAACAAGGTATGTAATTCTAGTTATTATTTATTTTAGAATTGTTCCCCATGTATGCTAGATAGGATCATAGCCTTGGAAATCAACTTTGCATGATAATTAGACAAACATAGATCCAAGGTTATTAGGGTTGCATGTACACTTAGGAAGTGTTAGAATGCTCAAAACCCAACAACATAAACGGTAAGCATAAATGCTTAGTGAGTTCCCCAAAATACCACATACAACAAATACGCCACTTAAGGCTACAACTCTACAAGACCTTCTAGTCCATATCATCTTGACCTTCCCGCCCATACACTGTTGACCTTCCGGTCCATGTCATAATACTCATAACATAGCATACATATCATATAACAACATGCAACACAGTCTCATTATAGCACATAAGACCTTCCGGCGCACATAATTACCACTATAGGTAAAGTATAGTGAGAAGACTCACCTCGTACGATGTCGGATAACCTTTCATGCTCAATAACCCGACTTAGCCTCCTCCTATCAACATAATAACATCTCTAATCAATACTTTCTCTTGTCGTCATTCCTAAAGAATGGGTAGAAGACCATTCTACCCCTCCCTGACCTCTCTTGAACCAACTTGACCAAAACCCTAAGGTCAATTGAAGTCAACTCTAGTCAATGGTCAAACTTTGACCAAACTCGTCGAGTGCACTATTATGACTCGGAGAGTCCATGCATGACCTCTTAATCCTCATAAATCCTCACTCGACTCGTTGAGTTAAACTTTCACTCGACGGGTTACCACTGGTCACGAACCGCGGGGCAACCTGAATCGACTCGTCGAGCTCCCTCCATGGCAACACTCAAAAGACCTTCTGAGGTCAGATCTGCTTCTCTAACCTATAGATCTGACCTTCCGGTACACAATAATCACATAAAGGTCCAACCTTTACACTCATGCAACACTCAAAGGGCTTTTTTGGTGAAATAGCTTCTAAAATGGCAACCTAGGTTCATATCTACAAAGGAATAGCATAAAGCAGGATAGATAGGACTCTCTGGACCTCTTAAGGTCCAGATCTAAGAAGAATTCCACCTTGGGACCTCATATGCTTCAAATCCAAGATAAAGAAGGCATAAGAAAACCCTAGATTCAAGTAGATCACCATATATACGATAATGAGCATAGATTTATACCTCTAACAACCTCTTCTGATCAAATAGTGGAAGATCTGAGCTCCACAATCTGCCTAGCTTGCCCTCCTTCCGTATTTCTTCCAAAATCACACTAGAAATGATGAGAATGGATTCTTTTCTCACTCACAATGCTCTCAGGTTCTCAGGTGTTCTCAAGGGTGAAGTTGGCTGCAAATGAGGGCCATAAGATCCCTTAAATAGGGAACATGCCCGGGGATTTAGGGTTTCTGTCCACAACACGGACTCATCGAGTCCACTCATTAAATCCAGTCAGAAATCGCGATCCTACTCGATGAGTCTAGACATCAAATCGTCGAGTCCTTCTTCTTAACACAAATTAATTAATTAAAATATGATACCTGGAACTCTGGATGTTACAGGTAGGGGTGAAATAGTCCCTGGTAATCGGTTGAAAGAGACCAAAGGGGTAGGCCAGCACCTAGATATGCTAGGCAGTATGTGATTTTTGTGTATATGCTAGGGTATTATGTGGTAGTGGTAGGCGTGAAATAGTCCCCGATTACCGCTTGAAAGATACCGAATAGGTAGGTCGGCACCCAAATATGCTAGGAAGTTACTAGTTGAAAGAGACCGAACGGGTAGGCCAGAACCTCGATATGCTAGGCGGTTACTGCTTGAAAGAGACTGAAGGGGTAGGCCAACACCCGAATATGCTAGACAGTATGTTTATTGCATGGTATGTGGTGTAATGGGGGTACTCATTAAGCTTTGTGCTTACGATTTTTAGTTTTGGTTTCATGTACTTCTTCTTCAAAAGGAAAGGAGTCGGCATGATCGCAGTGCATCACACTATGTTTTTCGCAAATGAGATCTTTGGGATTACACTCCGATATTGTTTCATTATGACATGTTTTGATTATTGACATACTGGTTTTGATATGGGATGACACTATGAATGTTTTTATACAATTGGTTTTATAATAACTTATTTAAAAATGAAATTTTTGGTCTTGAATTTTGGGATGTTACACGTGCATACAAGCCATGTACGATGTGCGTACGTTTGATCGGATAGTAATTGGGCTTTTTGGATCATTGGACTTTGGGGCTTTGATTTTGGGCATTGGTTGAGTTTTTGGCTTAATTGGTTGGGTTGAGGACTTTCATTAAAGTTGTATTTATTTATTGGGATTTCCTTTTTGGGCCTTAGTGGGCCTAATGGGCATGGGCTATTAGTGAGCTTGATTAGTTGGACCGTTTATGGATAAACAGATTTGGTTTGAAACGCAATTGTTAATTGGGTATTGTTTGTCTAATAATGCGGGGTTTCTAGCGGATCTACAATCAAAGATTATTCATTGGTTCTGCTGTTGAGGTGAGTTTTTCCTCACTGTACTTTCAGGTCAAAGGCACCAAGGCTGGTCTATTGGTTGGATAACCTGATACTGTTGATATGCTAGTTTGGTAGATCAGTAGGACTACATGTGATTCTATCTGCATGATTACCTGTATATGGTTGTTATCTTTCGGCATATTATGTTGGGTTAAGGTTGTACTGCTTCGTGTTGTAGCCAACAAACCATGGAGCATTCCAGATATTAGCTGAGGGTCGGATAGGGCATGCCAGACTCTTATTGA